AGCGAATAACGCACTTTCAGTCAAGAATAAGATGCTGTGAAAAGTAAGCAGAAAAATTGCTCGGGAAAGTGGACCTTTCGACAATTGGGGACCTTTTCAAAATGTACAAGAGCTATTGCAGATCTTCTAAGCTATCTGACTTGCTCTACATGTTGCTCGGTCTCACAGGCCAAAATTGACGATCTATCGACGAACTTCTCGGCAAGATTGGCGGTTTTCGATGTCGTCATGCTCACAAATGGGCAGGAGTGCTCGTGTCAGGCGATTTTGATTCTTTTCCAAACGATGATCGAGGAAACAAATGTGGCATTGTTCTATAATGCCTATCCATAGCTGGAAACCCAAAGTAAAGCTTTTGCTATCGAGGGCTGTTCTCGCAAGAACGCCAGTTTCATCACCGCCGACTTAGCCACGCTTCTAAACGAGAAATATTATGAGTTAACGCAGACTGTTAAGACGACTGATGATCTCGTCCATTCTGTCGAAAGCTGCCAACTCGTTCTTCGACAATGGGGAGCCAAGTTTCAGTCGAACTCTCAAAGACCGCACTTCGAAGGCCGCGCAAGGCTCGACGTGGTGGCGCATCGTCAAGAATTTGTCTCGCATTTTCTTCAAAATAAAAATCAGTACTATAGAATCACTGACGGCGATCAGCCCACGTGACAAGTACGTTTCCAAGGTCCCCAATTGTTGAAAGGTCCACTTTCCCGAGCAATTTTTCTGCTTACTTTTCACAGCATCTTATTCTTGACTGAAAGTGCGTTATTCGCTGACGATTTTCTTATATCCATGATATATTTTGCCATTAATGAACCTATTGTTTCCCTCATACATACTATCAATCGGATTAATTTATCTTCTTTATCGATCTTTAACTGTCCTCGAACAAACGGTAGATTTTCGTTTTCAAGCGGCATATCCATTTCATCTTTATCTATTTCTTGTTTTCCAACTAATTCTGATAACAGTATTTCTAATCTTTTATGTATACCTTTCGATGGATCTTCATCTAATTTCTGATGCGCCATCAGCGTGTGGCCAAAACTGAACTCTACATAAAGAGCATAATCAAACAAGCTAATAGAAACTAAAATTTATTCCGTCTCAATCATTTATTCATGCGCATAAATAATATTCTAGTGTACTTTACCACAGTGCACGTAGACATACATCATAAAGTAAACATTAAAGAAAAAATACCAGTTTAATGGCTTTATTCTAGTATATAAATCAAGCAGCACAACGACAGCAGGTTCGAAAAGCCGCAGAACATTATGTAGATCTACGAACATGTAGTTTCTTTTAACGACTAAGCTTATGCTTATTTTACTTGCAACCTGTCATACTGTATTCTTACTCTTTTTTTTTTTTTTTCAGACCAACTGCCAGTTATATATCGAATCATAATTGAGAAGTACATTAGAGATCCATCGAAAGGTATACGTAGAAGATCAGAAATACTTTAGAATGCCTAGACTGTTTATAAACTTGCTTTTTATTTTGACTTCCCATTGTACACTCAGAAATTCCAATACTTGGTTTAATCTACCTTTTTAATTTCTAAGTAAATATCTTATCATTTCCTCGAAAATGTCAAACGAACGTCACGTCTCTTTCTTATTTTCAATTCGAAATGTTTTCAATCTATTCGTGGAGTCTTCAAACAATGTGTCACTTCCTGACACCTCTGCGTACTAGTTTATTTCTCATTTGAAAGATATATTCTGGCCCATGTCGAAAGAACTACGTCCCTTCCTCTTTCTTCATTAGCCATCAAAATCGTAGTGATAGTGCACCCTGCACCCTCACGCACCACGTTCCATTTGTACTCTTAACTTATAACTCTTTCCCACCAAAAGAGTGATATGATCTATTCGCCGAAAGCTTTACCTTCTTAGCAGATTCATACCGGAAACTCCATGCATCTAACATATCTCAGCAAAACTATACCTATTTTCATGGCTCAATAGTGCAATTGCATAAACCTCACTCTTCCGTGCTTCATATCAAAATTTCATCGGAATTATTAGGTCAAGCACTTCCAGTTCAGATCAAATGCTCTGTGTCTTGAGAAGATCACAGGTTGTGCTGTGAGAGTATGTCACTGACTGCGAGGACTTTTCATTAAATATCCTTCCATAATTATCTCCAAGCCATCCACGCATAGACTATAGAGTTGCTGGTGGTAGTAGATCATGAAACTATTTCCTTTTCTTTTGGCATCAAATGAGCAGAAGAAATCCAGATATATGTATGAGAAATGTTTGAAAACAAATTTCACCCATGATACGAATAGAACGGGGGTCGATAAGAGGCAAAATCAGCCTCTTCACAGATCAATCTTAGATTAACCGATCTGATGTAGTTTTTATCCGCAATTAATCCTAACCTATTCTTAGATCTTAAAAACCCTTTTCGGTGCTCTCTGGAAAAGATCGCACTTGACGGCTACAAAATGAGCTATAATACATTATTTTAAAAGCCTTCGTACATGTATTGGACAAATACTTGACAGATATCTCGACTTTTTTCTTATAGTGGCACATAAAAATGCTTATAGTTTTTTCTACAGACAGCGATTAGGCATAGTTTTTATACAGAAAGATGCAGAATTGAAACGGCTGTAGAATGAGATATAACCTATTCTTTCAAATAAAATCAAGGAGAGAAGAAGAGAATAAAAGCTTCGATATTATCGTAACTCAGGTTTGAAGTTTGTCATGGTAATAATCGAAATTTTACGATTGTCACATTCTTAGAAGAATGTTTTGTGCTTGTGTACACCGTAATCACGCACGCAAATAACGTCATTTATCTCTTCCTCTTCTCAATCACACTTGTATTTTTCCTTTCCTTTCAATAGTGCGCATCATTAGAAAATGTGTGATAGAGAGTCATTTGAAAAACAACCGTCATAGGCGATTGTATCCGTTTTTCATGATGGATTTGAACAGACGTGTTACGTGGAAAAAGCGTCACGTATGTCCAGCTCGTCACTTCCGCAGAAGTTTTGTATATATATATATATGGATGCAAATAAATAGAAATAGAAACAATTTTATAAACTAAAATAATTACAGTGTAACACATTACAAGTTCTTCTGGTAATGCATTTCTCTATTGTTCTGCATTGCTACGGTGCTTGTTATAGTGACGGCCAGACGCATAGCTGATTGAGCTGTAAATGAAGACATCTGACTTGATATCTGCCCGACGTCTTCTCAAATGATTTCATCTCGGTTGTGATATGTTCTCTCTACCAGCAACAATTAGAAACGCCAAAATGTTTTGTAATTTTACAGAACACATCAAGACGTTGAGAAATCTGGAGCAATAGTGCTTGAGCGCATTCCATCTCTCCGCACCCCCTACACGGAGTTCGAGATTCCTACTCCTTTGAATACATGGTTTTAGGGTTGCGTCTCTACAGAATCGGGAACCTCACCGACTTGTAAAACCGCAGCCATTGTCCTTCACTGTTTCGCTCTCTAAAGGACATTTCGTTTCCAGCGAGAAACTTAGAAAAGAATTCCATTTGTTGATTTATTTCTTTAGCATGATGACAATGATATTCTTTGTATTATGCGCAAGTTTACTCTTGGTTAATGTTTCTTCGTTTATACCCATTGT